CCCCCCCCCCCCCCCCCAAGAAGAGACCGAAGAAACGAACTTTCGGGTTTCTGGGAGAAGTTAGACCCGGGTGGCATGTCCCCCCAGGACCTGCAGCTCATCTCCACCCCCGAGAGATCCCCCCGAGCTCCCGCTCCAACTCTTTATTTCATTATTTTATTATACTTTGTTTTATTTTAAATCGACTCAGAGCAAGAGCCCGACGTTTCCGGCGGTCGGGGTGCGGATGGAGGAGGAGGAGGAAGGGGATCTTCATCGCCGGCCAGTTCCCATCACCAGGGTCCCTCCGTCCTCATGAGGAGGCGTTTTGACGGGGGAGGGAGAATTTGGGGTGCGTTTCTCCTGTCTGCAGCGTGCGGTTGTTGTCCGGCTGCCGGACCCGAGCAAATTCTGCATCTCGGAAAATGGTTTTTCTTCCTCTTTATGCCCAATATCTGCATCTTTATCCAGGGGGGCGGGGGGGAGCACCCAAGAGAAAGAACGAAGCGGCTCTGAAGGGGTGAAATTAAACCCAATGGTCACTGCGGGCTAGATGAGAGAGGGGGCGATTGTCTGAATTTTTCACGTTTGGCCACTTTTTTTTTTTTTTTTTTTTTTTGGCCACCCTTTAAATGACGGCACTTAGGAGGGCGAAGTTTAGAGATGCGGTAAAGCTGCTTGTCTGAAATCCACTTTGAAGTAATAATGCTAGTGGGTCTGAAATCCAGATCTACCAGCTAATCTCTAGTTTTGCCTTCAAACGGAATTCGGTTACAAAGAGCTTGGAAAGATTTTGCGTCTATTCAAGGGGACACAAAATCTTTAATTTTCTGAGGAGCAAAAACTCCCCAAGAAACTTCATATAGCTCCTTAGGTTTTGCTTAGCATACGTGATAAAACATTGATTGTCGCAGTTTGGTGACCCATGAAATTTGGGGGTTAGTTTTCTCTTCAGACCAGAGCATATAATTATGCAAATAAAGAGCTGTCACTGATCTAGTGAAATACTCACAAACACAGGCAGCCCAAAACGGAGCAGAAAAGTGAAAATTTGCGGTATTATGATGGTGCAATGATAAAATGACGCCTCCCTCCCAAGTTTCCCGAGGAGCACAATTTTTTCACACTTCGTGGAGCGCGTCCGGCGCCAACGCGGGCGCACACACGCACGCACACGCGTGCACACGCACGCACACACGTCCCCGCGAGATCCAGGGATCCAGGAATGTGTGCACAGGCACACACACACACACACACACACTCCCAACCCTCCTAACCCTGGGAGATGCATCTCTGCCCGGTGGATGCCCACACATCCCTTGGGCAGGTGATTTTTTGGGGTTGGCCGCCTCCAGATCGGCGCAACGTGGGGGCTCCACGCGGTTTTATGGAAGTGGGCACTTTCCATTCCTACTTCTGAATGAAATTCCTGGGGCGGGGGAGGAAGAAACACACCACAATTAGTGGTGTTTCTCGGGGAAAAAAAAATGCGCATTCCCACGGAAATCAGCAGCATCTTTAGACTGAGTGCGGGAGAATCACGCCGAGACCACCGCAACCAGCAGGGATTTATTTGCTTCCCCACCCCCCATATAAATAAATAAATAAATAAATAAATATACATATTTATTTATTTATTTATCTATTTATTTATTTATTTATTTTTCCCCACATCCCTGCAGTATTTGGGGGGTCCGCTGGCTGTTTCCCAGGCAGAAGACAATTTTTCCTGTCTCCCCCCTTCTTGGGCGAGGAAACGCCACTCTGGCTGGCCCATCGCCCCAGCGATGGTGGCGATTTGGGCTCGCACAACGGGTTTTCAAGCCTTTTGATCGGGCGGGCCACGAGCCTTCAGGTCATGAGGAACCGGGGGGTTGTAGATCCTGTAGATCCCCCTATCCCGGGGGGATCAGTTTTGTTGTTTTGGGGTTTATTGTGGGGGTTATTATTTCTTTTTTTTGTTTTCTGGTCAGTTTTGGACCCCCAGCCCCCCAAAGTCACCCGTCAGGTGATGAAAGAGGCTGATGTCACGACATGACGGCGCGGGGGACCAGCGGCGGGGCGACCCCCAAAAGCATCCACAGCCCCAAAAAACGATTAAATCGCCACCCATCCCTCCTCTGAGGGGTGGGCTTGGAGGCCGACGCCGTCACCCTTTCCACGCCACGCGTGGCAAAGAACTGGTCCACGCCGGGATGCTCCCGCGCCTTCCTCCGCTGCGCTCCCCTCCTCCTCCTCCTTCCCGCGCAGCCCCCGCGGGCGGGGATGCTGCCTCCCCCAGTGTCGTATCCCCCCTTTCCCCTTTCTCCCCCTCCCCCCAAAAGGCCGTTCTCCGCGAGGAACCGGTCAAACCCCTCTCTTAATGTGAATTTTTATATTTCGTGATTAGGGTTCGGAGGGGGACGGCGCTGCCTTGCGCGGGTTGCGGGTGTTGTTGCGGGGGGGGGGAACCCTGGACGGTGTGGGGGGCTGGACACGAAGCCCACTCCGCGCCAAGGAGGACCCTCGCCCCATCT